TTGGATTTCTTCGCTTCTTTGTTAAATTATTACTTTCTAATCTGTCACGGGAATTCGCTGTATTTTGAAATGAAGAACGCACAATGCGTAACGATTGCGCGACAGAGGTTTGCTAGCTCCAATTTTTGACAAGATAGAGAGGATCGAGGAAGATGTCCTCGGATGTGAGGACGCGGAGGGAAATCGGAGAAGCTGTCAACGGAGCGCCATGCATCTGCCACTTACCCGCGCCACCGCCCTCGATTGCGGATCTCGGGGTGTACCTTTTTTCCCACAATATGACGCACCACTTCGTCACAATTATCGCCATTATTCAGGCGCGAGGAGAGTGAGGGAGCGAAAGAGAGAGCGAGAGAGAGAGGGGGGGGAGAGAGAGAGAGAGAGAGAGAGTATTTTACGCGCAAGCCACACGTACAATGGCCCAATATATCTATACACCGTATCGACTGCATCTTCACACACAGACACCATCACCTATGGACGTGACCCGGGGTCGTTGCGGCCACCACTCGAAATCGATCGATTCTTCCCTCGATCGTTCGTTTTATTGTGTTTTGACAGCGATGGCGAGCTCTGGTTTCGCGCAACCACCTTCGATCGGCTTTTAACATCTCGCGCAGTCGTAGCCGTTCGCTGAGAGATTGATCTTATCTTTCGACGCTCGGAATTTGTGCCCCGGCACGAATTCGAGAGTATCTTTACTCTGCCACCTCCCTCGTCGCCGACGTCGCTACTCATTGCCTTCCCTTTTGGCTTCTTCGGTTTCCTTTTGGTAGCACAACGATCATATCTGATCGGACCGGATATAAAGTTACGTGCTCGTTCTCCGGGTCCTGTTTCGCGCAAGCACAAATACGGTTCCTGGTTATTTCGAGGAGGAGCCTCCTTTGAAAGGCAACGTTTTATCGCGCCTATCTACACGCGATTTTCACTGTTGCCGATAATGCAATGCCCCGGCTACGTAGATCCGGGTGGTCCATCGTGGCGCGAAAAAGCGCGCAAAGTGGATTATACGGGAAAATTGCATCTTTTTACACGACGCGATATTCGCGCAAATTTGCCGTTAAATGCGGCTCTAAGAGCCGTACTTACGTTCAAAACGTGCTCCGTTGAATTTATTTATTTACGCGCACGCGCGATTGCTTAGAAACAAGTACGTATAATTAGCATAATTATTTCTAAATAGAATTATACACTATACATATGTATATGATACATATAAGATATTCTTTCTCGATTAAAACTTTAAATATTATATTAAATCTTGTATATTAAATTTAACGCTACACTAATAACTTTACGTTAGTGCACTTTTATTACAAACTGAAGCTGAGAGATACTTTTCTTGTAAAAAATATGATGTGTTAATAATTGTATGTATTAATAATATTAACTCTAAGTTGTTGAAAAAATTTTTGATAACTAAAGAAATGTACTATTTTTAAAAATTAGTTTTCTACACAATTCGTATAACTTTCTTCCCAATTATCTAGATACAAAAGATATAATTCGAAAAAATATTGTAATTGCAATTCAAAGAAAATTTTAAAGAATTCCGTATTAATTATGTGGAAAATTGGGTCCTGGTAAAATAAATTAGTTTTTACGTATAATGTAGCTTATAATCTAATTAAGTAAGAGAAATCATATTTTCGATCAAAGAGGATCTCACAGTGCTTAAATATTTCGAATCCAAGCTGAGGCAGTGTTATATTTTTCGCAATAAATTATTCACAGTTTTTAAGATTTTTTTATTAAACATCAAAGATTGAAAGATTAAAACTATTAAAAGACTGTAAAAGATTTCGGTGTGCGATTTGCAGATTATATATAAATTAACACTATAAATATTTAAGCACTAAGATTTTCTTTGACCGAAAATAAAATTTCTTTTACTTAATTAAATTTATTCTCATCGATCCCCAATTCCTTATTATAGTATAGCTTATTATGTGGTGAATAAAAGTTATCTTAGACACAAGTTTAACAATTAACGGATAATTTTTTATTATAGCGTATCAAAAGTGCTTTGCGAGCACAAGTTTTACACTTTTGATACACCAAGCTCAAAAACTATCCAGTATGAAGCCCTGCAGTGTCTATACATCTTTTGTTCATCACATCATAAGCTACAACGTATGTGAAAACTAATTTATTTCACTGGAATCCAATTTCCCATATAATTATAGTAGAAAGTCCTTTCTGTAGTTGTATACGTTGTGACTGCTAACGAAATACATTGTCTGTCAAGTTTCCGACGATAAAACTACAATAATACGCGTCATCACCCAACGTAAAAGCCGTACAATTGTGTCTGTACCGAGGACTCGAGCGTGTGCTTTCGCTGGCAGACAACGATATCGTTATCTGCAGCCGTTGCACGTACGGGATCTACCGGGTGGTGTAACTCCACCAACGGAACGTTTACATACTGCGCCGATACGCAACATTGTATTTCCGTTGCTAGCAGCGAGGTTTGGGCATACATAACAGAATCGCGAATAACTGCAACGGGGAATAGCAGGACGAGGAAGGGAAAGAGGGATCACAGATACTGGTTGCGAATTCGGGGAGGAGAGGGAATGGTGGACTGTTATTTGCAACGAGACGCAACAATTGCAATCCGAGCCGATCACGCGCACGTCGCGCGTCCCCCGAACCCGGTTGAAGTAAACGCCATATTGCTGTGTCGACCCACCCCGCGTTACCCCTCGCCGCTTCCTGCACGATTGAAAATAATGTTTTTGTGCAAGCCGAAACGGCAGATATGAAACCAGCATGGCGGATGCTTACAAATAGTTGCGGGGCGGTGACTACGTATAACGGGGCAACCCGGGCGCCTTTATCGCGCCTTTGTCCACGAATCGCGCCACGCGGGCCGAAAGGATTCTTTCACGGGCAAGAGCGAGTGAGGGTCGCGGATCTAAAAACGGAGGGGCGCCAACGGAAGTTTCCGATCCACCCGTTCTTTCTCTCCCTTGTACCCTCTACGCGACATCTTTCAAGTGATAGAGATCCGATTTCAGATCGTTGAAAAATCTAATTGTGCACTGGAAAAAAATTACTAAATTTTATTAAATATTTGTTCGAATAGCACTAACGAAATATTTACTTACATACACTGAGAAAAAAATGCTGTTGATTCAATTAAAGTCTATGTTACAGACTGTCACTAACATAAGTAATTAATTCATGTATATTTTTATTGGCATAAAGGCTTGATTATTGAAATAATAATTTATGCCTTTATGTCAATAAAAATATACATGAATTGATCACTTATGTTAGTGACAGCCCGTAATATAAACTTTAATTGAATCAACAGCATTTTTTCTCAGTGTAGTAAATAAATATTTATTTAAAATAAAAAAATTATATTCAAATTAAATAAATATTATACTTAAATAAAATAAAATAAATAAATAAATGTTTACATTTAGTAAATATTTCGTTAGAACTATTCGAACAAATGTTAAATAAAATTCAGTAAACTTTTTTTCACTGTGAATAGTATAAGTCAACGAATAAATTTGCACGGTTATGTCAAAACATTTATTTAAATAACTAGTTGATTTATTTTTAGTTTTTAGATTCAGATTTAGATTTTCAGGCAGTGTTATTGCTGATATCAATTCTTTTGATTGTGCAGCTTCGTGTATTGCGTCTTATTCTACTACTGTATCATTTTTATTTACGTTACTAAACGTTAATAAAGTTGTCATTATGATTATTATTAGTTTGTATATTAAATATTCATTGGTTTAACAATTATTTTAACATTTATCCAGATATTTTAAGATAAAAAATCTAAGATTAGATAAAAAATCCGTAACTGCGCGATGGATGCAAAAGTCAGCCATCTTAAATCACAATTGCTTCTTAAGAAACTTATGTAACTTGTTAATTTATCATTAACACGAGTTGAATATTATACCTAGTTATCTGTAATTATAGATAAATGAGCTATTCAGTAATATTAATTCTTTCAGCGATATATAAATTTCAACTTTGGCTAATATCGTTCAATTATAATGTTAAAGATTAAACTTAAAACAATTCTTAGTAAGTGATCGTGAAAATTCTTTATTATATTAAACAATTAGATATGCATTTTTTGTATAAATGATTGAATGATGTACAAGCATGAGATATCAAATATATTTTAACTTATTTTCTTCATTAAAAAATTTTTTAATAAAGTAATATATACATTTATTTAATGAGGAAAACAAATAAAAAAATATAAAATGTAAGACTACAAATAATATAATTATTAATTATAATAATTAAAAAAAATCTCTTAAAAAAAATTTCTCGATTGTATTTTATTTTATTATTTGTGCTTTTTATTTGTGCGCCTAAATAATAAAATTTTTCATTTTTGTTTATTTTATAAAAATTAAGATAATATATTTTAATTACTATTTTAATTATTTTATTAAGATAGTATTATTTTAATTATTATTTTTAGGTAAAACAACTTTAAAAAATACACAATCTATTTTATTCTTCGCTAATAAATTGGTAATTAATGTGTTTACTTTCTAACTATATAAAGTCTTTTTTAAAAGATATGTCCTCTGTAGACGCGAATATTTTTTGCACTCACTGTATAAGAGTCCACAAGAATACATTAGATACATTACTTGAAATCTTTATCGTAAATCAAAATCACAATCCGCACAAGCATCAGAATCTTAGATAAGACCACTCAATCTCGAAAGACTGTCTCAATCTTCGTGGATTCCATGACGACGAAGCTCACGAAGCAGCACGCACAAAGCAAGAGGAAGAGAGCGAGAGAGAGAGAGAGAGAGAGAGAGAGAGAGAGAAAGCGGATGCCATTTCCGAAACTCACGGTACAGCACGCGCTCTGAAAACGGGAAACACGCATCGATCGTCTCTCAACTCCCCGGTCCAGGATCGGCTATGATATCGAGCTATGTTAGGCTACGTAGAGATAAGAGAGCGGCGACGTGGTGCGGCGACGACGGCCGCACCATCATCAAGGCCGTCACCATCTCCACTACCACCATCGGTGGCCAGATTACGCCGGCCAGGATCAATATCGCAACGTCGTAGGCGTGACGATCGGTGGTGGGTTCCATTTTCGTCCGACCCTCCGCTCTTCCATTGGACGACGTTCCGACATTCAGGTTTTCTCTGCCACACCGGGCCCCGCGCAGGATCTCGTCGACCAGATACACTCGCTGGTCCCCACTCCATGTCGAATGCCGAGTGTTCCCCGTATGATGGGCGGTCTCCGTTTACGCGACCGCGCACTAAGCGGAACGAAAAACCCGTCCGCTAGGCAGTCACACTCCGTCGAGGATCGTAAATCATGAACAGTCCACTGCTCGGTACGCATCGTAACAAACAGGGTGAAAACTGTCGGAAAACAGGGACTGCCGCGATTGTCGGCGGCGCGACGTCGCCACCCCCGGAGCGATAATTTACGACTCCGACATTAGGAGTCCCGCGCGTATCGGGACGGTAATCAGGTGGCGAGTACAGTGCGCGGGAAAGTGCTCGGGATTTCGATTTTCTCCGATGTCGGTTCTCCAATCCAACAATTCCATGACCACGTAGTCCAACGCGGAAAACCGTCGCTGACCGCGATCGCGACGAATCTCCTCCGTGGAGAGGACGATCAGTGGTGTCCTCGGCCAGGACCAAGTATCGGTGTCGAGTCGGCTGATCATCATGTGTAGCAACGAGAGTCCGCCGCCAGCGAAGGAGCCGTTGGCCGTTGGCTTGGGTAATCCGATGGCCAGCTTTCTCCCGGGTCTCGAGCATTATCGGCTGCACCTGTACCATTACGCGATGGCGGAAAGATTGCGGCTGGCGCAGCAGATACAGCATCCCGGTGTAGCTCATCCGCCTTCGGGGGCGCCGACGGCTCATCTGGGTATAGGCCCGGGATTCCCGGCGCCACTGCCGTTGTATCCGGCGGCCGCCGCGGCGGCTGGTTACCCTGGTCGATTGGCACTGTCCATGGCACTGTTGCATCCGCATCATCAACGGATACCAGAGGAACCGAAACCCCAGCACAGTTATATTGGCTTGATCGCCATGGCGATACTGTCATCGCCGGAGAAGAAGCTCGTACTGTCCGACATCTACCAGCATATCCTTGAGCACTACCCTTATTTCCGCACCCGTGGCCCTGGTTGGCGCAACTCTATCCGACACAATCTCTCGCTGAACGATTGCTTTGTTAAGTCTGGCAGAAGCGCCAATGGCAAGGGTCACTACTGGGCGATCCATCCGGCGAACCTGGAGGATTTCCGGCGCGGTGACTTCCGTCGGCGCAAAGCTCAGCGCAAAGTACGACGGCACATGGGCCTAGCGGTGGACGAGGAACCAGATAGTCCAAGTCCACCGCCTTTACCCGCTACTCCACCGCCTCCGACGGCTCTTGGTCCTTCGGTAGCTTCGCAGCAGATATCCACGTTGTGGACGCCACATCATCACCACCATCAACAGCAGCAACAGCAGCAGCAACAGCAACAAAGTCCCTTCCAGAGCCAGTCCCTTCGACAATCGTCTTTCCAGCCGAGGAAGCGACAGTTCGACGTGGCGTCACTCTTGGCACCGGACGATCAGCAGCAGATCGAGGCGGATGTTCTCGGGCCGGCCAAGTCGCGCAGGTTCAGCTGCAGCGAGGATGAACTGCACGATTTGCCGGAGGCCGATCAGGACGACGAGGACGTCGATGTCGATGTAGTCGCTGACGCGAACGCCTTACCGTCGCCAAGCACGCCGCCGTCGGCCAGTCCGGATATACCCAAGGTCGTGTCTCCGGCCGCTCATTGGAATCATCAGAGTGTGCAAAGCGGCGGTCAACAGCAGCAACAACAGCAGCAGCAACAGCTGTCGGCTGTACACCTTCATAATCATCTGCATGTCAGGAACTACTACATCCCGACTAACTCCGCCGGCGGGTCCAGCGTCTAATGGAGGGCTCGGAAGAAGCCGGTCGGTTCGCGCGACAGGTAGCTGCTCGTGTCTGTCGAGTGTCCACGATCCCTCTTTCTTTTTTCACCGCGTGATTTCGAAAATTTTTTTCGGATATTTCACACAACGTATCTCCAACTCGTATCACGTTGTTTTAAAAAGCAAAATTATTTGGCAGAAATAACTACTTTTTAATAAAAGTCTCGTTAATCTAACGTTATTAAGTAAACAAACGAGAGTTTTTTTTTTAATGAAAGAAGCTAGATCAATATTAGGGGAAAATGCGATATAAATGACAAAATCCTTTTCAAATTAAGCTTTAACAGAATTCTAACTAAGAGTTGCAACATTAAAAAGTGAAAAATTGCCGAATAGAATTGTTTCATTTAATAAATAAATAAGCGTTAACGAATTAACAAACGATGTGTTTACTTGGCTTTAAATTGGAAAGAATTTGTCATTGTAAAATGATACGATAAAAGTGAGATATCCTGTACGCAAAGATCTGAGGATGATAGTGACTTAAATAACAATGATTGAATCGTAGAAGGGAAACCATTTAGACAATTATAATGGAGAACTGTTACACTTTTTATTATTTTTATATTATTATTATATGTTGTTACATATATTTATGTGATTATATATTTATATACCATTTATATATATATATTAATTATCGAAGTTGTGCTCGTGTTACAAGTGTGTTTAAGTTCATATCATTCTCAGAGCTTCATATTTTCAGAAACACCAAGAAAGACCGTCTGAAAGATTCGTTAAACATTTCCAATTGTCCCTTGAAGGTTTATATTGTGTGTCCGGGTATGAATGTGGCGTGCGTGAAAAATACGCGTAAAGTGATCTCCGAAATAAACGAAAAATATTAAGTATTGTGACTACGCAAGAAACAGATCAATCTATTGCCGATTATGTTTCTAGTAATCACATGGGAGTCACATTTTCGCGTGTTATTCGTGCCGTGCTGAGACGAAATCGAGATAAAACGTTTTAAAGACGTTTTTTGGAAGAACCGTCTAAAAGAAGTTCAGTGTCCTGATTTAGATTTTGTATTTTCTGGGTCCTTAAATTCGATTATTTTACGTTATTAATGGAAACTGCGTGAAGTTCCGATCCATTTTGTCGGAACTTTAACAGGAAGAAACGAGATAAAACGTAATAAAAGGAGAATCGTGTCTTCTAGATCACAAAATGACGATGAAAATTCTAAGTAGAATTTTTAAAAATTTCTATCAAACTTTGAATGAAAATATTTAGGCAATATAAATGTTCAGTAAGGCCATGAAAGTCTTGCAAAAGTATCTCAGGAATATTTTAATTTTTAGACGTATTTTAAATTGCAAATTTTTGTGTCGTTTGGATACGAAATTAAGTATCTCATTTTCCTCCTGATTAATAAACGGAGATTCTCGTGTAATTAACAGTTAGCTTCTTGTCAACGGACAACCGACCTCTTTCATCGAGCATGAAGAATAATTCAAGTTCGGCAATTCGAACGAAGCAAGCTCTGGCTATGCTCGAAGAACTTATACGTGTATTATATAGATAGATGTCTAAGAAAAAAAAATTATGTATAAATTGGAGTTCGACGGTGGAATCTATAAAAGCATATGACGATTATAAATCATCGCATGATAATCGGTAATTCAACGCGATCCGTTTATTTTAAAAATAAAACGTAAATATAACATATGTACTTAAAGTTAACACGCTTATCTAATGTACTACAGTAGAGAATCATAAGTTGAGTAAGAGAACAAATATAAGACGGATCTTTTCAACGCCGACATCTCCCGATATATAATTTGTTCCATTTTTTTTTTTTTTTAGATGAACGGCTCGCGTTAATGTCGAGAGATTTTACCGGCGAATTTAGGATTTTTTGTAAATATATACGAAGACGCGGCCCGGTTGCCCGGAAAAGGCAGCACAGAAACTGATGTACGCGGGGCATTACGTCAGACTGATTGCGATCTCCGCTTGTTTATAGTGTAATATAAAAGTCGTTTAGGGTTTAACATAGCGCATCCCCATTGTATAATCCACATTGGTAGAGACGGTAAAACGAAGATATATATATTCTGTACAAACCCGAGTACTCCACCCCCACACACCGGTCCACCACCCTTGTATGTATGTATGTATATGTATCGATGTATACGTACCTGTGCGTATAAAATTCAGATACGCGAATCCGGATGTGCGATCGAGACGATCGCGTTACCGATGTCGCACCCGATGAGAAACGCAAGACCATTTTTTCACAGTTACCTCGTAAGCATACGCCGGCGGCCTCTCTCTCTGTTATTGTCTCGATGCAACTGAACTTTAATAAAGTTTCTGTTCCCACGAATATTTATCCGGTCTCTTTGCTAATTGACCTGACTCCTTTAAGAAAGAGAATAAAAATAATAATTGCATGACGTGCAGCATTTTTATCGAGATAAAAAAAGCACTACGCATTATTACCGGTATAATGGCTTTACCTGTTCGCCGAACAATCTTAAATTAATTGTCTTTTGCCTTATTGATAAGTCAGATATAAACATGTTTCTTCGTAATTGATTTAATTTGTTGTTCTAGCAGTTCTATCGAGCTAATTTCTCTTTCGGCAATTCTTCTTCAAGATTTTCAATCTGAAACTTATATAATTCTTATTTTTTTATAAATATATTTTTATATTTATATTTATGCCTTGACTCCTTATTTTTATATTTTTATATCCTTATTTTTTCATCTCTATATTCCGTAATCTTGGAGAGATCTTCCGCTGAATTTTCCTCAAGTCTAATTGATAATTATCGAGGAACGACCCTTTTGATTTGTAATATTTATGTTTGTTTAAAAAAAAATGATACTTGAGTTGACAGAAACATTCTTTCTCTGCGACGCGCAGAGAGTATTTGAGAAATCTGTTTGTCGTGATGACCAATGGACAGACCTGGCTATTAGTTAATGTACATAAGTCACAAGATGAGCGTTTGTTGTACGCTGACCGCTTGCGAAAAAAATTTGTGTCCATTCCCGTGAAAAGACGTGTGCATTCCTCGCATCCATTATCGTGATTGCGTTATTAACCAGTCACGAAAGACGCGATTAACCAGGAAGAAAACTAATTTATAAGAGTAATTAAGAGGTTCAGAAAAAAGATAAAGAAACGTAACACGTGTGTAATATACTGATCGATAATTTTCCTGATGTTGACATTAATACGTAACAATACGCAGCAATGTTCTGTTACATAAGATTTT